ACGTGTCAGGGGCGGAAAAGGGCCATGGACCACGTGTCAGGGGCGGAAAAATGGCCGCGGACCACATGTCAGGGGTGGAAAAATGGCCGTGGACCACGTGTCAGTGGCGGAAAATGGCCGCGGACCACGTGTCGGGCGGAAAAATGGCCGCGGACCACATGTCAGTGGCGGAAAATGGCCGCGGACCACATGTCAGGGGCGTAAAAATGGCCGCAGACCACGTGTCAGGGGCGGAAAAATGGCCGCGGACCACATGTCAGGGGTGGAAAAATGGCCGTGGACCACGTGTCAGTGGCGGAAAATGGCCGCGGACCACGTGTCGGGCGGAAAAATGGCCGCGGACCACATGTCAGTGGCGGAAAATGGCCGCGGACCACATGTCAGGGGCGTAAAAATGGCCGCAGACCACGTGTCAGGGGCGGAAAAATGGCCGCGGACCACATGTCAGGGGTGGAAAAATGGCCGTGGACCACGTGTCAGTGGCGGAAAATGGCCGCGGACCACGTGTCGGGCGGAAAAATGGCCGCGGACCACATGTCAGTGGCGGAAAATGGCCGCGGACCACATGTCAGGGGCGTAAAAATGGCCGCAGACCACGTGTCAGGGGCGGAAAAATGGCCGCGGACCACGTGTCGGGGCGGAAAATGGCCGCGGACCACGTGTCAGAGGCGGAAAATGGCTGTGGACATGTCAGGGGCGTAAAAATGGCCGTGGACCACGTGTCAGGGGTGGAAAAATGGCTGCAGACCACGTGTCAGTGGCGGAAAATGGCTGCAGACCACATGTGGGCGGAAAAATGGCCGCGGACTGTGTCACGGGAGGGAAAATGGCCGTGTATCCTGTTCGTACCCCGAGGCAGAGTTCGCAAACCGAGGTAAATTTTTGCAGCCGGAGCTGGTCGTAACCCGAAAAGTTCGTTAGCAGAGGTGTTCGAAACCTGAGGTACCACTCTATATGGTTACAGCATCAGCTTAAATAGCTGTGGAAAAGGATCAGGCAGATTCACGGAAGACGGCAAAGCTATCAATGGCTACCAATCCAATAGAAGAGAATATATGTAGCTCAGGGTTGAACTGTGTGGTCCTTGGTGCTCTCTGAGCTTGGTTGTTAGCTTGCAGAAGTTTCATTATCTGACTAGGTAATATCACCAGTGCGAGTGAGTGTGGGGTTTGCTCCCTGTTTATATTCAGTAGCTTGCCCTGCCATTTTGGTGGCGGTGTAGTTTTCTCCTTGGTAGTTCCTTGATTAGGGTATTGTTTTCTGCTTGATTGTCTGGAGTTAATTGCTTGATTGTCTGGAGTTAATTGCTTGATTGTCTGGAGTTAATTGCTTGATTGTCTGGAGTTAATCCCTGCTTACTTGGGTGTAGGCTGCTGAAGAGAATGTGTTCTGATCTTTTTGTTTCCTTCTTAGGTTTTTTATTGTCTCTTTTGAATGATATGTAAATGTGGTTTATTTCTGTGCATCTATTGATGGCTGATTTGTCTGAGTGCCAAGCTTCCAGGAATTCCCTAGCATTTTTAGAATTAGCTTGTTCCAGGATGCTCAGTTTCCCAGTTGAAACTATGGTTGAGTCTGTCCATGTTTTGTGAGATTAAGGATTTTACTTTGTGTCTTCTGACTGCTAGTTGGGATTCACGGATGCGCTCTGCTAGTCTTCTGCCTATCTGTCCTAAATAGTGGCTATTATCATCCTTACATTATATTAGTTGAACACCAAGCTCAGAGAGCACCAAGGACTCCACATGGCTACCAATCTTGATGCTATATTGAATGGCTGGGTTCTGAGAGAGTATGTCTCTGTATCGTTTCTTGGAAGGAATAAAATTAGATCCAAAGTACTTTTAAGATGTAGTGCTCAATGTACTAGTGCTATGAAGAAATGTATCTCTGGCTTTGGGAATGGCTAAGGAATGAGTGAACCATTAAGGGGGGAATTGGAAAAGGCATTACTCAGTCATGAGAAAGAGGAAAGCATGGGAAAGAAATGCAAAATAATACTCTCCTGATTTTGTTTGGTATAAAATGGGGCAGAAAGAAACTCTGACAAGTTTTCAAGATTCTGTTGTTCTACCCTACAACAATAAAGAACATTCTTGGAATCCTTGCCATGCCTGTTTGTTGACCTGGCCTATCTCAAAAGGCTGACAGAAGCCTAGTGTGGGACTTAACACTTTGCTGCCTGCCACAATCCTAATCTAGAGTGCCCTTTGCCATTCTTGCAATTTACACAGAGAAAAAGTCCTAACTGAAGCAAATTCTTGACCCATATGCAACTTAAAGGCATGAGACATCCATCCAAATCTATTTCTACCTCCATCATTAGGGTGCTAAACCATTTGGGACTCCTGCATTTAACTTTGGGTAAGAAAACCAAAACATGATAAAGGACCATTCTACATTTTAAAACCAAATTGTAGTTTGGCTCCATGAGGCTTATTGTCATTAAGTGTAGTGGTTAGCCACCATGGTAATCAGGTTGCTGGACTAAAGTTAACTGAGCACAGTTCTTCTCTTAAGAAGTTTAAAATTATACACTTTAAAAAAAAAAGCAGTTGTTAGTATTCTACAGTGGCCAAAGAAAACAGTAGGTTTCTAGCTATTTAGGTAATTTTCTGGCTCCTAAGATAAAGTCTCCTTTGAATTGAGCTCAACTCATGGTGATTTTGTGGACATGTGCATGCAGTTTTCTTGGCTACAGTATGGAAGTGGTTTGCCGCCGACTCCTTCTGGGATGTTTATTTGACTTCCCAGTCTAGCCTACAGTTGAAATTTCCTGGTAGTATTTCATCCAAGTACTAACCGGATCCCATTCTGCTTAGCTTTTCAAGATCAGACAAAGTTGGCTAGGTGCTACAAGACTGTTAGCAATAGATCCTTTGATTTTCTCTTCCTGAGGAAATTGAGTTCCAAAATTGCTTTCCTTCTCTGGCATAAGGCAAAAAGCAATTGTTCCTGGTAAGGTATTTCATAATCCAGAGTATATAGAGGGGGTCAACACGGCTGCCTTGATCACATACTCAAGGTAAAAAGCTGAAGTATCTCAACAGATTAGCTACACAAAGTTGGCTAGTAATGCAGTCTAATATTGAGGCAGGGTAGGGATAGATTGGAGTTTTTTTGGGGGGAAACTTTTCTCCTCTCCATTTTTAAAGTCAAAAGGTATGCTAAGTCTATGGAAGGCTTAGTATACTTATTTTACTTTTTTATTTTGACAAATAAATGGAAAATTTTGGTACAGTCTTAGAAAATTTTGGGAGGTCACAAAAAGAGTTTGTCGATCTCTGTCCTATAGTATACTATAATACAGCTGAGAATAAAATATATAAAGTTCGCTTTTTCCTACAAATAGTGGATTGTTCATGTTTCATCCACATTAATACAAATTAATGACAGGTTGAAATAACTTTAAAATAAATCAGTCGGAAGTCTGAAATATTTAACTAGTTTAACCCACATACATTATAAATAATTTGAAGCCTTTATTTTTAACTAAAAACAGTTGTTCTCTTTGGAGATTGGACATTTCAGTCTATTGACTGAACAATTCAACTGACATGTAAGAGACAGAGAGATATACTGTATTTCTGTACATCAGGAAATGCTGGTAAAATGAAAAACACTACTCTACAAAAGACATGATTAGCAATGCAAGTAACAAAAATTTATCTAAACACAGATTTTAACCTTCTTTTCTATACATCTAAGAATACGTGTTTAGCATCCGTGATGCTACAGAACTAATTAGCCAAAATGAAATCCCTAAGAAAGCAAATGACCTTATAAATATATTAATGACCCATAGAAAACACTAATTACCACAATGTATCAGAACTCTTACCTGTGAGCCAGCAGCTACATTATTTATAAGATTATTGTTGGGATGAGCAATCCAAAATGTTGATACAGCCCTACAAATAATTAGTGAAACACAATTAAAAGTGACAGATCCTTAGAAGACTCAAGTCTAGTAACAAGAAAATACAGTTATGTAAACAACATTCATTAGTATTTGGGCACAAAGAGGGATCTCCAACAATTCCATTTTCTGGCAAGGAATTATGACATCTTTATCTTAGTTTTATAAAAATACTTGCTTTTTAATACTGGGAATAACAGACTAAAATATATTTAATTTTTTTTCTGGAAAATACCACATATTCAACTTGAACCATCCTCATTGCATCAGTAATACATTAAAAATGTTGTTCAGAACATTGAGCATTCTGTTTCCTAAGATAGCAGCATTCTTGCAATGGGATATTTCTGTGAGCAGAAATAGGCGGGAAGGATTTTTGTTATAAATCAACTTTACAGGGTTGGGGAATCCTCTGGAACAGTGCAGAAGTCTTATCTCCTTCTGCCAATGGTGATCTACTCTCTACCAGTGGTTCAGTGGATAATAACGAGTCCTTCTTATTGTGGAAGAGCCACTTTATTTAAGCTCAATTTAGCACATCACTGTATATGACTAAGTTCTTCTTCAGGTACACACTGCAAGCTGTAATATATATTTAGCTAACTGAATCTGAGTCAGATTCTATCTCTTAGGCTAGCCTAAAATCTCCTAATGAATTACATGTTATTTGACTCTGGATCTACTTACTATACCATTCACATTATTTCCAATTATGTCATGCACACAGATGTGTATAACTTCTTGAAATAGAATGTCCTATGTAGAGACCATCAAGACAATAATCAGAGCATTCAAAAAACCTCTCTAATTTACTCACATGCAATCTGTGGCTGGTACTGGCTCATAGTTTCCATAGACATGATCCCTGATTGTTGTGCACATTGTGCTATTTCTGTCTGTTGGGAGAAGGGTGCCTGGTTTGGTGACAAGTCCTAGATTATGGAACAATGTGTTCCTTTGTTCAATACCATCCTCCATGAAAAAACAATGGCCTAGTGTATTGTATCCAATAGAGTCTTTTATCTGCAGAAATAAAAATTGGTTAAATCTTTCTAAAATGCTTATCCTAAGACATGAAAAATGTTTTACAGTTTTACTATTTTGGCACAGCTCCAATAACATTCCAATAAAAGTTAGCAGTATAACAGTTCAGTTCAGTTACCTACCCATCATCAACCCACAACTGTAGAACTTTTGAAATGCTCAAGCTTCAAATTCTTGCCTGATATTTACATATATAAATAAAGTATCTTGCTTGTTAACTTTCATCAGATCTGTTTATACATATGTAGTTCTAACTATAACTATGAGCATGTGGCTCTCCTTGGGGACTGGAGTTCAATTATAGTTTTTTTCTAAGTCCTCAATCCATGGGAAACAAATCTTCAGGTTGACTTTGACTCTGTCTCCACTAGGTTCATTTCGGACAATACTTTCTTATTTCACAAAATAATCAGTCCTCAGCAGCTATGGTGCTGCCAGGCTAACACATGAAATGTCCCTAAGTCCTAGTCAGCCATGTTTATACTTCTTGCTAAAGAGTTGTCCCATGTTCTATCTCTCTTATGAGATAGAGAGAAGGAAACCATTACAAGATAGTCCTCAGATTCTACAGACAGCGATGACACCAGCACTTTATGGTCTCCAGTATCAGTGCAAGCTGAAGGATCAGAAGGCTTAAACGTCCTGTCTCTAATCTAGAAAAGGTCTCAAATACAACATTATGATGGGGGCAGCCCTCTCATACACAAATGTTCTCTCTTTTTGCTTTTGAAATGTAAACATAATGTGGCCTAGGTTATCCCAATTCTATTTCTAAATATGGTTGTAATCTGTAGTTTGGAGGAAATCAAGGTTAGCAAAGCAATGCCACAAATATAATAGTTTGATCTAAAAAAGTGGGGGGGGGGAATTCTCTGCACCTTTGCAATCAAGGCTGGCAGCAAAATCAGGAACACAGAAAGCCTATTTTATTTTTATCCTTTGCAAATTCAGTTCCCAAACTTTTCATTATTCATTGCTCTTACCAGCAAACCATTTGTTGCATGAATTGTCACACATCTGGAGAAACAATGATGAATTGAGAGGCCTTCTATATAAGTCCTATAGTTATATCCTCCTTTTTCATCCACATCCCCACAAAGGTGAAAGTGAACAGGATAACTCCCATGTATTTGCTGACCCATCTGCTTCAGCTCCACATAGGAGAGATGAACAGATGTGAAATTCTTTAAAATCTGGAAGAACACAAAGAAATAATCCAATTTACTGTTCACATTTTCTTCAGTGATAATAGTTTGGATATTTTAGAAAAATATTTAAACAAACAATGCATCAAGAAAACACTAAAAATATATGCAGCATAATGCAGAACATAAAAATAAAAACTATGCAGGAGCAAATATTAGTGCCCCCCTTATACTATAGTTTGAGAGAGATTAGGGCAAAATATCAAATTTTAAATTTCCATTTTCAATTCAATTCTGTACAACATTTGTGTAAATGGAATTCATCTAGGACTTACTTTATTAGTATAACTAAAAATGGAGACCATTTATAATAGAAAATTCCTAAACTAAAGGATTTTTCAGGGTTTTCTTTTTTGCTGCTATGTTAATTTTTTTAGCCAAGACTATTTCCTACATTGTTAAGTATTAATGATCCAGAGATTTTTTTTTACTTTTTCAGTGTTTATTTAATAATAAATGTACAACTTAGCAACATGAATTTAATTTCTTACCTCGTACCATTTTGTAAGATGGGCAATAAAGTCACTAGAATTAATTACCAAAAGAAGTTCTATAATGTTTACAATTTCCTCAAAACTTTCAGTCAAATGAAGTGTGTGTTCACATACACACAGAGTAACATGATAGACTATAGTATTTGGGCAGGAAAGGGAATCAAATACCAATTCATTATAGTTCTTCCAACACAATTTAGAAAGCCTCTGACTAATGCAATGCATTTTAAGAAGGTTTAGTATATGATTTTTTATAATAAAATCTTTATGCTTTGCTAAAACAGATTTTAAGCGAATTTTATACCAAAGAATTCTAGGTTGACAGATTACGTCTCTTTTCTGTATTAACTCTGCTTGTTACAAGCCAGTTATGAAGCATGCAAATGGTGATCATGTGACTGCAGGATGCTGTCACAGTCATAAATGTGAAGATTGGTTGCAAAGTTATTTTTTTAGTACAGCTGTAACTTTGAACAGTCACTGCATGAGGCAGTCAGTAAGCGAGGACTACCTGTACTTTCAAGAGAATTGGTCATACCCGCTATAAGAATTCTGTATAACATTGCAGGGGATTTTTTTCCTTTTAAATGATGTGGATATACACCTTGCTTCAAGTACTGTGTTGTCTAATAACAATTAATTGATTTACAAGGTGTTTGATATTAATTTCATCCCAACACAAGCATAACAATGTTTAAAGTAATCAAACCATGAAATTAAATATAGAAGAGCAAGTGGAAAGCTTCTATGTTTAATAATAAATGTCATAAATTCAATCTGTATCATCTCTACAGTAAATAAATCAAGTTATCACCTAACTGAGCATTACACTATATAGCATTAGCGGGCTAAATTTGGATTCTGTATAAAGGCAGCTTCACCTCTTCATGCCACAAAATCAGCAATATTTAAAAAGTGGGCCTGGAAATACTGATGCTGCAACATGACCAATATTTCACACTGCTGCTCAACCTAATGCTCAGCAGACGGCAGTCATTAAATAGTATGAAACAGAATCGAATTCCCTACATCATGTCATATTGGCAAGTTCAAAAGCTACTGGAGCCATGAAAGGATGAAATTAAATTTTTTCTCCCATACCTTGATATGTCCACCAAAAGTATCATAACTGAAGAATCTGCAATTTTTGCCAGTATAGCAGGAATCTTCCATCTCTCCTTTTATTAAGATGTTTCTGGTGAGAACTCCCACCTCTGCCCTCATATCCACTCCATCAATGATTTCTCCAATATGCAGGAACTTTGGCATTTCTGGCTCAAAAGACATTCCAGAGAGAAAGGATGAAAATGACAAATCCTTCTTTAAACTGGTAGAGGTATCATGCTGAGTTTAGTTTCATTCAAAAAAAATGCTACTTGCCTCTGTACAGATCAGACTTGGTTTACAAGGATTTGGTTTTTGACACTGCCTGAAAATACAATGCATCAAAAGGAGACTAGGAAAACTTTCTTTACCACATGGTTTTTCTTTATTTATTACATTGGCAAAATGTGGATTCCTCCTCCATCAACTCTTGTCTTTTGGGAATTTTTTTACCTGGCTTAGAATATTTTTTACAATTAAGTTTATAGGTCACTTGAGTTATGACTTTTTGCATGTATTAGCATTCCTATGTCTATCTGCTTTTGTTTTCTGCTTTCCGTATTGCAGTTTATGTAGCTGTGTTCAACATGATTATTTTTGTAAGAAAAACATTCTTAAGTATCACATCATCTTCTAATGGCAGGCCCTAAATCTCAAGTTTTTCCTACCTAGAAAAAATGATTAAATATTTTCAATAAAAATGAAATGAAAGCTTTACTGACACCTTATCTTGAAGCATCAAGAACTCACAAAGTCACATTCACCAGCTGATGATGGCAATGACATTAGGAATGCAAACACTGCAGCATGCTGTGACAACGCTATGCAAAATTAGAATTTGTTATTCATACATGCACATATTTGTGCATACACAGCATAAGAGGTTCTTTCAAGAATAAGAAGAATGGTTCTATAATGGCAAGGAAAGCAATACTAAACTTCTCTTGGTGAGATAATCCTATGTATAGAAAAGGATTGCTAGAGAGCAAAGTTACCAAAGAGGTAGAAAACTATGGAAATAGAAGTTCTGCCAGGGAATCTGAGTGATTTCTTAAAATAATATCTTTGTTTTAAGTGATTTCTTAGAACAATAATACATAAACAAATGTAACGAAGAGAAAATACCAGTGTTGGTAAGCGGAACAGGAGACTTGCTATTAGCTTAGATGTATTTTTCGCATTCTTTCTGGTATTACTCAGAATTTTCTCTTTTAAATATACTATAGTAACATATTATTATGAAAATAATAATTTGTAATCAATGGTAGTAGTGGTAGCAGCAGTAATAATCTAGCACTCTGAAATGTTTCAAGCATTTCACAATTGTAAGCATTATAAACAATCTTGTAAAGTCAGTATTATTGCTCTGGGTAGCAGAGAGAGTGACTGAGAATAAGGAGAGTGACACTTCTAAAGCCACTTCTAAGGCTAAAGCAAGATTACAACCAAGAACTTTTTGATTAACCACTCAGACTTTTAGCTATTTTATTTCAGTAGTTCTCAGACTTGCTGATTGAGCAATTTCCTTAGATTTGCAACTGCAGAAATACAATGCTACAAGCCAGGCAATGTGCAAAAAGCTTATAAGCCAACTTAAGATTGCGGGCACATGAAGGAGCACAAGGCTAATGACTGTACAGAAGGATACTTTACTGATGCCAGCCCTATCTTTAAGTGAGAAATCTTGGAAAGCAGAGTTATGGAATGGAAGAATTCTTTCAGCTTGAGAGTGATGTGAAATATGCATATAACACAATAACCCATATGTATGGATTATTGGTTGAATTTATGAGAAAGATATTACGATTCTACAAATCTCCATTTAAAAATTTGAATAAAGGCCATACAAGACTTCACTATTTTTTTCATGCCACTGGTGGGTTGGATCCAGGTATGTACAATAGAGTGGTCAGAAGTGGCCTCATCTTCTTTCCCATCATAGCCTTTCTATCCCTCTAATTATGCTATGAAAACCTGCTGGACAAACTAGACTATATAGCATGAGGGCCTGAACAGTGAAAGGGATTCCTTAAAATCATCAGAGGTGCATTTCTATGAATCGCTGTCATAAGGAGAAAAGAGAATGCCGGCCTGCCCTGTTCCACATGCCTAATTGCAGACCTAACCCATTATTCACACCAAGTTCAGTAGATGAATGTAAAGCCAGACATATGCAAAAATACAAATATAATAGTCATTGTAAGATTTATGCCACCAAAATTAGATAAAACAGCATTCTCAGAAAAAAAAGATTTAGTCTTCAATATGTCTGCACCAATATACCACCTACAAGATGAACAATCCAGTTGAAGATGAGAAATCTGATGTGGCACCAAAGATTTGTTTTCTTCCAAATTCTATATCCTGCTGAAATGTATGTGAAAACTTAATTTTGCCCCAAACATTAGAAAAGAATGCATGCATATATGCATGCATACACACATACATGTGCACACACACAGGCGTGCCCACACATGGACACACATACAATTAATAGCTTCAGAAACTGAACAGACAAAACAGCTTTATAGGTCTGAGCTGCAGTTTGGAACAATATCAGAACATCAAAATACTTAAATATGTAATGGACACTCCAGTTTATTTTTCTAATTTTTTTTAATGAATTCCCTTAGTCTTCTATATTAAACAAAAACAAATAGTTCCACTTAAAAATGGCATTTTCTTCATTAAAATATACAATTGTCATTATGTTTTCTTGTAAAGTATAATATTCTCTTTGCACTGGATGGATCTCGTGCTATGGAGAAATAATAATTCACCACAAAGAAGCAGCTATGTTATTTTGAATCTTAGCCTAGTTTCTATTCCAAATCATTTTTAAAGAAGTATGCAATCAACACATTCGTCTTATTAAAGGAGAACTGTAAAATTTTGACTTTTGGCTTTATTAAGGCTTTTTCATTATGGCTGCATTATGGCTTTTTTTTTTTTTTATAACAAATCATACATAGAATATAATTTTTGCCCAGACACAAATCCTTCAAACCAGTTGATTTAAAGATCTTTAATTCAGAATTAACTAATATAAGCATGCAAAGTAAAAAAAAAACAGTTACAAAAAGAAATATTAATGTATAGAGGCTGTGCCGGATGCTTAATAGCTAAAGTGAAGTTGATTTCTTGCACAAAAATCCAGCCAGACTGTACATGCCTGCGAAGTAGGAAGGGATGAAGCTCTTGACAGATTTTTGGAACACTGAAGGAAACTGGATATTAAAGGAATAGAAAGCCGAGGAACTGCTTCCATATGGGAATAGTTTGCTTGCCTTTCCTCATTCATGTGAGAGAGTTGGCACAAGCTTTCTGCAGATGCTGAAGTCTGAGGACTAAGAGAAGCAAAGAATAAAATTTCACTAGTAAGATGAGATCTATATTTCAAGCAGAAGGGACAGCTCACTACAGCAAAATAAAATTATCCTGAGAATACTTAGGATTCACATGAAATTAAAGGCATAGAGGAAACAGAAATTTCAATGTCATGAATTCTTGGAATATTAGGATTATTTCTGTGTCATCTTCAATCCATATATATTAAGGTCCAGTAATCTCTTTTTCATCACAGTAATAAGTTGGTTTAGATGACCTCATCTTTTTCTGCCTTCTTACATCCAGGCTCCACAAACGTAAACGATACACATTCAGTCAACTCCAAAATAATCTCTGAAGCAATGCATCCACCAGTTCCTCACTCTAATTACAGGTAGTCCTTGTTGAATGACCACTTGTTCAGCAACTGTTCAAAGTTATAACGGCGCTGAACAAGGGGGACTTACAATGGGTTCTCATAATTGTGGCCATCACAGGCTCCCCATGGTCACAACTGCAATTTGGGTGCTTGGCAACTGCCTTGCAATTACGATTGTTACAGCGACCCATGGTCACCTGATCGCTGTTTGCAACCTTCACTGCCAGCTTCCAACAAGCAAAGTCAATGGGAAAGCTGGCAGAAGGTCGCAAATGTTGATCATGTGAGTGGGATGCTGCGACCACATGGGATTTGCCCAATAATAGCAACTGGGACTGCCACAACTGCTGTTGTAAGTCAGCCCGGTCATGTGACATTGCACTTTACAACCACGTCGCTTAGCAATGGAGTTGCCAGGCCAACTACCATTGTTAAGCAAGGACTACCTGTACTTTTCTTGTAAGTTTACTGTTCCTAGATGACTCTGGAAAGTAGCAGCTGCTACCAAGTATATTGTTCTTTCCACCCATCCTCAGTGATTTTTTTTCTTAATGAAAGTCTGGAGAGGATGTGTATGTAGAATTTGGGAGAAATATATTATTTTCTGGACTACTTTAAGATTCTTCTTACATTCTTTAAGATGAATTAGAAATAAAGCAAGAAGCAGTTCGCTAAGACTTAGCACTTCTCTTAGAAGCTAAACTCCTATTATATCTTCAGTTCATGATTAAGCATTAGATTTCAATCAACATTAATCATGGTTCAGAGTAATTAGAGCATCTTTCAGATGTTAACTATTTAATGATTATTTTCATAGTGATTTTTTCACCATCATTATACTTACAGAGTTCAAAGCTTAACCCTAACCTATGTTCCAGGCATCATAGTTATTAACAGTCTAATTCAGCCCAATGGATCCCCCTAACCTGAATACACCTTAAAAGCAAACACTTATTTAAGATCATTTAAGAGCTACTTTAAAACAGCTATATTTTAGACACATTCTGCTAAGAGCAATAATTAATTTTAAAAAATATATGATTTTGAGGAGTGGGCAGAACTTTTCATGGGAAATTATTTTATTTTACTTTGCATGTTTTTTTCTCTGCCAGACATGTTATTTTATATTTTTTAACATGTCAGAAGCACTGACCTGTGAAGAAATATAACATCTAAAATGCACCTGTCTTTCTGAGTAAGAATTTGGAATCTGCTTCAAACTCTGGTTAGCCAGGGTTAGCTGTAGTTACAGGTAGTAAGTACCAGAAATCCAAGATAAGAGAATACTGGGGCAGAGAGGAGGAAAAACATGACTCTGATCTCTTAGTGAAGAGACCCACAATTATATTTTACTGCCTGACATGAAAGTGAATTAGCCTAATAATGTTATTGTCCAGCATGAGAAGTCATGTATCTCTGTAGCAGGCACAAGACAAACACTACAGAAAGAAGCAGTGGGATGCTGAATGCTTATTTATTTATTTGTCCAATTTATATAGCTGCCCATCTCACAAAACAAGTGACTCTGGGCAGCGTACAACAAAGCTTATGTACTTAACACAGCCACCCCAAATAAGGAAAGTACATAGGGGGAAAAATCAGTAAACAGGGGAAGTTTTATTTACAGATAATCAGATGCAGTAGACAGTTTTGAATTGGCCTTGATCCAATTTGAGTTGCCAATTTGAATAGAATCATCAAAATCAAGCTAGTTTGATTCAAATTGTTTGGACTATCAAAATGTGTATGCGGATGCAAAAATTTAGTCAACTCAGATCAAATCAAATTCACTTTGTATCTAATCTCTGATTCAAATCTTAGAGCAAATAAATTTAAAGCAGTCTTCCCTTTGATAAGCATTGCACCCACAGAGTCAATACTATGCATACCATGTCAGGGTCAATTGAGGATTTTAGACAGTGGTGGATATTAAGCAGCTGGAAAATATTCTCAAAGCAGAAAGTCACCAGGAATACATTAATGCCAGACAGCAGAACCATACCTTGAAAGGAAATACAAAGCTTACTAGACACATTCATTTTTACTTCTCAGCTCTTACCTTTCACTTTGACTTGGTATTTGTTGCATTCTGGGCAAGGAAGAAGTGTGAATTCCTCTGTCTGATACATAGAATAATCAGTGCTTGCCACAACAATCCGGTCTCCAGGCTTCCAGCTGCTAACATCTTCTGACAAATCCACTATCACTCCATGCACTGCCTTAACCTGGAAACCCCACTTTGGAACACCTTGGAACAAAAAATTAACAATTTCTTGGTTCAATTATTTTAAACAATGTGATCACCTTTCCAAATGCTCAAATTGTATTACATCAAAATAATTTAATGCACGTTTTGGTCAGCAAGACCAAAAGTCACACAGAGCTAGAGGTAAAGTTGCTAAATGCTTGTCTCTTCTTCCGCAGCTTCCTGTGATTCTTCACCAACGCCATCCACCAAAAATGGTTGCAGTAGTATTTTTTTTAACATATTCTCATGGATTATGAATTAGGATCCACGACCTGTAAAGAGCTTCTTCAACAGAGACCTCATCAAGTGAGAGGCAAAATATTATGCATTAAAAAAAAAAGAAACGTAGATGGAGGGGGAAGATGAAACTGTATTTTGATAAACAGAAACATAATTTTAGAAACCATTAAAGCAATGTGTGATAAAAATTATGGAAATGACTATTCACCACCATTTTCTCAGAGATTCCCTTCTCCTTGCTAAACTGCCATATATATAATTTTGAATGCAAAGTTTAACTCTACATTAAGGAGAAGTCTGAAAAGCCATTTTCCTTCCCTAAGCTCTCCAACAGTATTTCCAATTTGATGTTCCCAAGATGTATGGATTTCAAAGTCCAAAATTCTCAGCAGTACCCTAGCTAAGCTTTCCTTCCTTGTATTGTACCACTTAAATTGTGGTCTGATTGTATAGGCAGACCTGAAATTGTTTGCTTTTCTCAATGCTCTGGTGCTACAGCATTCAGACTGGGGAGAGGCAATACAGCACAGGGAGAATTAAGGCCTCTCCCTTCACTGAATCTACCACTTATCATTAACATCGCTACTTATCCCTTTTCTCTCACAGACAATGATTGTGTGGAGAAAAAAGAAGGCTGAACTGCAGAGTACCTCAAAGTTCTTACTGTTTATTTGTATTTTACAATACATTCTGCCAGTTAAACTACTGTGTGTAATATGACCAAATGCACATCAGAATGTAATTGGAATGCATGATATTTATTAATACGGTCAAAGGATTTGAATTAAAATATAGATTGCTACCAGCTATGAACCTTTCAATTTTGTCTATCACAGCAGACAGGAATATAAGAACCTACTTTTTCTTTCATACTTGATAGATCTCAATAAGCACACATTTCTGATTTTAAAATATTTAATAGATAATTATGCTTTCACTGTATTGATTAAAGAGCTCCTAAGACCATGATTTATTTTTCCTATTTAAAAGTAAGAAGGTGGCATTTTACTTAATTTCTGTGGCTGTTTTTTGTAGACATTTTAGATCAAAAGATTTTATGTGATAGCTACAAGTAACAGTTCTCTCACAAACATCAGGAAGGTTGACATTTTGTAAAAAAAAAAAAAAGCAAAACAAAAAAACTGAACAGCAAAGCAATATTAGGTTTTCCTGACAGCAGACTGATCTTTTATTTCCATCCCAAAACTCCACATTACTTTTGCTTATTGCAACAAGGACACAAAAGCAGACAAATTTAAATTCTGGCCTCTAACCAGAATTTTACAGCTTCTTATGATCAACACAAGGTACACAGCAAGATTCAGAACACAGCAAGTCTAGCTGCACAAGATAACTGAAACCAGTTTTGTTATCTGATTTTCTAAACAAAGAATAAAAATAGCATATTCCTACCAGCAGTCCATTCACTGAAAGCCCTCACAACAAATTTCTGGCCATCCAATGTAAAAAATTCTCTTTCTGCAAGGGCCTTTCCTCCTGTACTGTGATTTTCATAGTCTCTCACAGATTCATTGCAAGATGAATTTCCATCACCAATTACACTGACTAAAGCCCAGGCTTGCCTGTAAGAAGAGAGCACAAGTTTAAATACTTCCCCTCTTTTTAAAAAAACAAATAATACATGCAGAAATATCAGCATAAAAAAATCCCTCACCAATTTTCCAAATGAAAATGCTTCTTCACTTTGGTGAACCAAGCAATATATTCTATTCATTTAAATTTCATTTGTCAGAAAAGTAGCTTTCCCCAGCTCAGTGCACTTCAATTGTTATTTGTTGTCATATAACCACCAACTAGTTACAGGCACTTTGACGTATTGGCTGGGGCTAATGGGAATTGTAATATTCTCATTATGACAAGTATCTAGTAGTCACATGGCTGGGGAAGCTTGCATGTATTCAAGAATATCTCCCAAGACAGACATCTCCATAGCTCTTCTGAACTTAAGTCTTTATGCTCCTAACTCAGACGCAAACCAAAAGATATATAAAAGCTTAGTTCAAAAAACTAGTTCCAGGGAAATATTACATTTCAAATAATTTCAGAGTTTGGAAATTAGTACTTTCCACTTACTCTAACCTAAAGCCTGCTACTGTATATGTGAATCTTCTATGATAATAAAAGATTATTAAAGAACCATATAATTCTTTTTTCTTAAAAATGTATCAGTGATTTTATTAGTTTAGTTTTCTATAATATTGTAAAGATTGATGGAGATAGCATGTGCCAAGGAATTTTTTATATAATGGAGAGATGGACTGTGCCTGCACATTTAAGGAAGACAGCTTTAAACTGAAGATATTTTCTCAGAAAGGGAGATTATATAAGAACAAAGTTATAAATATCCACAAAAATCCTATCCATTGCTGAGGTTGGTGGGGGGGCGGGGGGAGAAAGATAATGAATCAGTGCATGTCAGTGCTGCAGCTGAACATTTTAGTACCCTAGTGTAAAGCCCTCACTGTGGATACCCCATAAATTACTTGTTCAAGGTTAGAAAGTAAGCCAAGATCAACCTCTTTACTCCTCCCTAACTCTTGAAAATCTACACTTCCTTGAAAGTTTCTGCCTTTACAGTTACTCCTGACTTCTACATTAGGTCTAATCTAAGACAGCTTTGATTTCACAAAACAAGAACCAAGAGATTCCACTTTGTTCCCACCATTCTTCTTTTTCTTCATTGGGGCTAACAGGTATTAACATTTCCAGCAGCGATTTCACTAACAACATCTAGAACTGTTGAGGAAGGAATTGTTCTCATTTAAAAAAAAAAGTTCCTTGAAATTGTTTAGTAAGCATGCCATCCAATTAACTTTCAAAAAACCTGGTTCAGTCTTAAATAAGAAAAAGAGCTCCTACTGCTGCAACTTTGGATCTGGAAATACGGGAGATGTGAAGTCTTAGGAGGGAAAAGGAAAACACTGGAAAAAAGTTCCGGGGTTTTTAATTAAAAAATAGGATGAATTATAAAATATTATTTTATAATGATGAATAAATTCAGTAAGAAAATAACTTTTAGAAATGTGGTTGACCTTTATTTAAGTCCATTACAATTCCTACTTTGCTGAGGATACACTACAAGTTTCAGATGCAAGTAAAATGTATTTCTCCCTTCATTAGGCCATGTTTTAAAAAGATAGGGGGAAAAAATCAGTTCCTCTTAACATGTAACTTTTTCTCTTCTTGGTATCTGATCTAGAGTTTGGTAGATCAGTTTCTGTACTCTTAACTAAAGTTCATGGTCGCTTGGAGGAGGCCAAGCTCAGAATATACAATAACTTTGTTTTATTGTAATGTTAAAATTTCCTCCAGTTTTAAGTTGCCTTTTTCTCTTGAACTAAAACAAAACAAAACAAAACCCTAAGAGATGCTAGATTTGTAGCTTATCAATTTGTAGCAGCTCTATGCTACTTTAAGGCAAGAATGAAATCCCATTCTTTAAGACCCCCAATTCCAAGGCAATGTGTTAGAATAGATGGCAGGCTCCCTTGATACAATGGGAACTACAATATGACTTAATCTGTTTTGACTACATGAAACTAAAAAAGTAAAAAATATATTTGAGTCAAAGGATTAAAAAACTACAATAGATGCTTCTAAGAACTGAGAGCAACTTTTTCCTATTTTTAATACCATAGAGAGAAGCTAAAAGCAAGAAAAACATTGCTGTAATTTTTATTTTATTTGCTATTTAAGTAAAAAAAAACCTTAAGTATGCTCTGACTTTTTAATTTAATTATAATGTAATTAGAAATGTGTATAGTGATAAGCTCAGTTTAACTACAGAAAGGCTGATGCACATTAATAAATTAGCTCTGTGATCAATCCTCTTAAACTAGAGCAGAATACATCTGTTTGGCTGATATTGCATGCCTTTAAAACCATTTTAATGTTTGCACGATCCATTTAATATACTCTTTTCTGTACTTTTGCATCCTTACAATGTATTTTGATGAAATAAAGTTAATTCTTCTCTTTTTTCCTTTAATTTCTTGATCTCATCCTTCAAAAAGGATCAGGATGAGATGGTTTATACCTGATACGGAAGCTTTATTTTGGGGATTCAGGGTGAGATAGACGGAACCTGATATGGAGGCTTTAATTTGGGGATTCAGGGTGAGATAGAGGATTTATTTTGGGGATTTATTATCTTTACTGAGCCATTTTTTTTATCTCAATCTCAAACGCATTTGGAAAAGATTTATATTTGCTAGGAAAAGGAGTAACCTGCATCAAATATTTTTTTAAAGTTTCTTTACTTTTGTTTTTAATCACTTTTGTTTTTGTTACTTATTTTGATTAGTAATTTATAATTTATTGTAATTGATTAGTAACTGAATGGTCTGTAGATGGAATCCAGTCTAATTTTAGTGATTCTAGCGCAATGAGATTTCCTTTTCCCATTCTTCAAAATCTGATTTGAAAAACTGGAATTTTCTGAATACGTAGCTGGGGTAGAATAAACCCATCTTCACAGCTTTAATTTCTATGGGAGGATTAATGAAACTGTTCTGCCAGAAATATGCCACTGCTACTCTCATATGAATAAATTTAATACACTAAACATGATGATTTTTTATGAGCAAACTCTAATCACTTCAGTAGCATGAAGGAAGTCTTGGAGAAGAGAAATGGGATGTTTCACCCTATTTTTTTTTTTAAACTATTAGGAATCCTTTCATATTTACAGTTTAAATATCCCATGGAAGATTGGTTAATTGAGATCTGAAAGAAATGTTTCACTCACACCCCTAAACCAAAGGTCTTTTCAGATGCCAAACAGATTTATAGCAACTTTAGCGAGATATACAGAAATAGGTTTTAATAAATCACACCATTGGGCATGTATCTGCTTCATTATTTCCAGAGTTTTTAAGGTTTTCACTTAAAACCTTAAAAATTGGCTTTTAAGACACCAATTAAAATGAATACATTAAGTATATATACAAATAAAACAAATGTATATGCAAACAAATACATACAAATAAAAATAATTTTGAGGAAAAAAACATTTTATATGGTAGATGTCAGATTTGAAGAGAAAAAAACCACCCCTCTTTTGATAACAAAGCAATTACTTTTCTAACATCCAAAAAAGTATAAATTATTTTTAAAAATAATGAGGGAAAATTTCCCTAAAACCTATGCACTGTAGTTTTAATTTTAAGAGCAGAAAAGTACTGAATATTAATAAGGCTTGGAAGAAAACAAGCTTATTTACCCAGTCCTAATCGACAACCAACTCTGTAAACTGTAAAAGGGAAAACATGAAAAAGTTAATACCACTCTGGTCTGGACTGGGAGGTGTGACAATTGAGGAAAGCTGATACGATAATAGATGAGCAGAGATGACAGAACAAATTTATTCCAGAAAGTCTCAGAATTTTTATGAGTCATTTGCAAATTGAGCATCCTGTAAGCTATAACAGGGGTACCCAACCCCCGGGCTGTGAACCAGTACCGATCCACGGCTTGTTCGAACTGGGCTACACAGCAGGAGGTGAGTGGTGGGTGAGCGAGTGAAACTTCATCTGTATTTACAGCCACTCTCCATTGCTCGCATTACTGCCTGAGCTCCTTCTCCTGTCAGATCAGCAGCAGCATTAGATTCTCATAGGAGCGTGAACCCTACTGTGAATTGTGCATGCAAGGGATCTAGGTTGCGCACTCCTTATGAGAATCTAATGCCTGATGATCTGAGACGGAGCTGAGGTGGTGATGCTAGTGCTGGGAGCGGCTGAAAATACAGATTATCATTAGCAGAGAGGTTTGACTGCACAGAGACCATAATAAATCAATTGCTTGCAGACACATATCACAACACTATCATGTAATGCACGTAAATCATCCTGAAACTATTCCCCCCCCCCACACAGTCTGTGGAAAAATGGTCTTCCACGAAACCGGTCCCTGGTACCAAAAAGATTGGGGACTGCTGAGCTATAATATAAAGCAAAATAAAATAAAGTAGATTAGAACACATTTCCCAGAATTATTCTCTTTGTTTCAGGGCTACCTGCAAAGCGAGTGCTTCGAAACTTGAAGCATAGAAACTGAGTAAGTAGCAACATGCAGAATAGTCCTTTCTGGGCTGGCAAGATAACAGAATGGCCAGTTTGCACAAGGTTGTTATGGAACTACACGGTTTAGAAAACCATGGCTTTAGGGGCCTGATTTATGATTCAATTCTGCTGAGCATGACTGTGTTTGTTTACCTGCCTCAACTATGGCCAGATATAGATGCTTAAGATGGTACTAGTCTCCTGAGAATACTTTTGTGGATCAGCCTAATACAGCTCTGTGACCCTGTTTTTGCATTTGCAATTTCCCTCCACCTTCTCTACCTTTTCCTTCCCCGCCCCACCTTTGTGTTGGCAGCCTACAGGCCTGATGGTTAAGATACAGAGGCCTCATGATCAATATGCAACTATTTTTAACAAGGGAATGTAAGCATTTTCTATATAGAGTATAAAATCCTAACATGTTCCTCTATACTGTTGGTCATTACAGTTTTAATAAAATGACATGTATTATTTATGTTCAAGCAGTTAGTAGGAAAGGCAGCTTAAACTGATCACTAAACTCATTCCATTTAACAGATGCCACATCTCTACAACTCAACAAATCCCACAGCAGTCAAGACTAATAATGTTATTATGAAATAATTCCTCCAGTGAGGAATATAGCAAACATAATAATCCCCTTCTAATCAAACAGAAATAATAATTGCTTGAATGATAGTCATTTTTACAATCATGACAATTACAATTCAATCATTTCTACTGAACGATTACTTCATTTACAAACTGAACGATTACTTCATCTACAAACATCACATTTTAACTAAGGTTTTCCCAATGTTGGTGCCTTCTAGAAGCATGGATTTCAATTCCCAGAATTTCCTAATTGCTATAACTATCACTGAGAAGTTTTGGAATTGTAGTCTACACATCTGGAGGATACCTGGGTTGGGGAAGATGACTGTAACTGTCCTTCTATTTTATTGATAGAAATAGCTTATTACAGGATACCTGAAATTTTTCAAGAAATCCACTGTAAGACAATAATAGGACCAATCAAAATGTGAAAAGTAATGTGTGCTTTGAGACCATCACAACATTTGATCAAGGCAAAATTTTACATAATTTGCAATGGGGAAGAGAGGTGAGAAAAGAGAGATGACTGAAGACTTACAGAATCAGCATTTGCTCAGTTTATTACAATACTTACGATTTTTGGACTAAACAATTTTACTCCCAATTTGAGGGAAAAAAGCAGTTATCAGTATCTGTCCATAGCCTTATGCGAAACATACAGATTCTTAGTTAGACAGCCTTGAAAATTTAGGCATGTAATTAAAACTGATGTAATTGGACATCAACCTTTTACAGAGCTCTATATCAAACTACATAATCCTTAAGCAAACACACTGAATCCTAACTTTTCCTCTGCAAGGATCAAATGGCTTACAAGAAACGGATCCAAAGACAGAGCCATACTAAAATAAAGCAGCAATATCAACTCCTGAAATACCAGGTATCCTAAATACTAAGGAAATTTACCCAAGAGTTAGGTAAAGAAACATCACAGCTTTTGAAAGAAAGTTTATGATTTTAGGCATTTTGCCAAAGATTGGTTGGCTCCTTTTTTATTATAAATATGTTAAAAGCTGCTCTCTTTTCCTGTGCAATCACTTATGCTTGTGGGTTTATGGGTTGCTGTTTGTAAATGCTAGTGCATTAGGGTTTATATTGATTTTTAATGGATTAATTAGTTCTAATTATTTATGGGGTATTTTTAATTGTTGTTGGGGTTTTGATTTTAACTGTGAGCCACCCAGAGTCACCCGTTGGGGGAGAGGGGCGGCATACAAATATAATAAATAAATAAAATGAATTAATGTTAAAGAACAGAGTTTATTACAACATTTCATGTACAAAATGATGTTGGAAATTCTTTTTGAAAAAGGTAAAGCAGGACTTCCACATAGACAATGCTGCATTCTCAACTACAGCATGGTGTGATGCTCCACTAACCCTCCAGAATAGGGTTGGGACTGTGGTGCTGTGGGGAGGGAGGGAATCCATTCTGCTGCAGTGTCCCTCTCTTGCTGGCAAACAGGAAGCAGTACATATGACTCTAGGCTTTTGTATCATTACATTCAAACAATAGTTTCCTGATTATTTTTTAACTTGTTTTAAGAACTATAAAAGACAAACATAGTCATGACATAGCATGTTATTTCAACATGATGCTTGATTCCCATTCTCTTATCTTCTCATAATATCTTTTAATAGGCCTTTACCCTCTTTGAAAATGATATTGAGGAAGTTATTATAAGAAGCACTCTTACACTACACTTTTGAATAATTTCAAAATCAGCTCTATGTCTTTACATTAATTCCCTGGGTAGATATACATGAGGAGGCAGTAAATACATAATACATGTAGTCCCCAGTTTAAGACCGTTCCCAAGGTCTGTCCTTAAGTTGAATTTGTATATAATCTGGAACAGTATTATTGTATAATACTATATAAGTAGTATTGTGTAATGAACTCGAACCATTGTGTATTTAACTCAAATTTTGCTACATCAGGCTCTATTCTTAACTATGAGTCTTCTGTAAACCCAGTGTTCTTAACCCGGGGACTACCTGTATGTACAATGCCACATTTAACATGCCCTCTTTAGATGTGCACCTACAGACATTGGTTTCCCAATTGTCAAAACCAGGATATCTGATTGTCTTGTGTATTATGAAGGGAAAGAACTTTTACATTATCAGTTATTAAAATGTACAACCGAAACACATAGATTATAAAATAATTTGCAATAAAAATAAAATAGGAGTCGGGTTTTTTTTTTTCCTCTGCCTGCTGTCAGAGCAGGTTAGTAGGCTGATATCTGTAACTGAAAATATCATGGTTTAAATCTAGGCATTAACCTATAGGACAAGGGGAACTAAAGTTTTCTTGTCCCATCTTCTTACTGCCAGCCTTTTGAGTGAACCTGAAACTGCTAAACTGCTTCCTTGAATATTAGAGACCATGCTGAGCAGCGTGGCTACACTGGGTGCTAAACAAGAAGGGAAATATTGAATAAAATTGAGCAAAGGCACATTTTGTTCTACATATGGAATGTTCACTTTCCTGCAGTCTCCTTCTTCCTCTTTGGGTCTCCCCCTTCAGTCATTTCTCCACAGCAAGCTCTCACATCTTTCAAGGAACATTTCCACTGCCTATCAGAGAAGACGTGCTGGATATTTGAGTCCAAAGTTCTATTTTTATACCAAATGTTCAATATTGAATAATAATGGGTATGCATTCAATTTTGCAGAAGAAACTAACATGGAAATATTTCTGATTAACCATTTTCCAACAATGAATATTAATACTTGAGGTGAAAAGCAATAACATTAAATGGGAGGAGGGAGGGACTGTGCTGAAAAACTCTTGAAATTTTGAACAGAAAAATAAATAGCATTTGTCTAAATATATACTGTGCTATTGGATTTGGAATGTGGAATTGCTTTCCTTTTTCTTAATTCCATAATCAAGTGGGCTGGGGCTGGGTGAGTAGGAGGTATATTTTTCCTCAGACAGTGAGGAGGAAAGGAAGTTTGATGAGGCTATTTTTAGGAGGTATAAGTGTCGATATATGATGTGGTGTGATGAGTTTTGACTTTTGTTGATGATTTTATTGTTGTTTCAACTAGATATTAGTTGCCCAGAGTTGCCTGGCAAGTGACTAGCCATATAGATCAAACAAATAAATTTGTCAATTAGGTTGGGGTTAGGGGTAGTTTAATGTCTTTTGTAAGAATTATCAGAGTTGTAAAGTGATGGTAGTTGTTACGAAACTTCCTGATGCACCTCTGTAAAACATACTCAAAAGAAATGTGTTTAGCCTTTACACTCATACATTAAAATAAACTGAGGACTGATCTCAAACAGTACAAGCACCACCTCTGAAGGAAATTTTTAACCAAGGGGATGAGTTTTTTTGCAAAAGCATTTTTTTTTTTTACCTATAATTCAATCCTTTGACGAGCTTACTTCCCAGAAGATTCTGTATGGTTGTTCTGGTTTCCTCCAGTAGATTTTTAGCAGCTGAGTCTGCTACAGAAATAGCAACAATGCGACCAAATTCTTGAGACTTTAGAAAATCCTGAAGTTTTATGCTATCATTTTGAGATTCGTGAGTATCAAACCTCTTCGTTGCCAAAACCTTTGCAGTGTCCTGGTCAATAACTCTCACATTTAGGGCTCGTAAAAACTCCCTTTCAAATGTGTAGGATCCAGAGGCCAGCCCTGAAGAATATAGAGTCTTTGACAGGGAAGTCCATGATAACTTCTGAGAGCCATGCAATTCCAGTGTTCCACCAGGGCCCACGCCCACAAATTTTTCACCAAATGTTGGCACATAATCACCTTCATTTAATTTGCCGTATAAGATTATAGTTGCTTTGGACTTATAACGACATTTTTCTGCTCCAATATGAAGCATTCCACCATCCTTTATTAGGATAAAATGTGTTTTCAGGGTAATATTTCTAGATCCGTTTTCATCATCCCCAAAGACAAGTAATCCTACAGGAAATAATATTTTTAGGTAAGCAATTTTTAAATATATAGTAGCAACCTATATACAGCTTTAAGTGAGGACTGCAAATCACTAGGTATACTCTGATTATCACTATACAGTACATACCTTGTAGTTGGGATGTGGACACAGTATGTTGGCTTGCAAGATGGTCTTTAGATTAGAGATCCCAGCTTGCATAAAACAGCATGAGCGTACTTGGGGTTAAACTGGGGCTTTTGATAGGTTTGCAGCATACTTGCCAAAACATGCCAGTACAAACTGATACTTTTTCTGTTAGCCTTAAATGGTGTATGTGGCATTGATATGATAAAGCTGAAAAACCTAAGACTACTACTCATTTTGCTAAAAATAATTATTAACCAAAACCAAGATGGGTGGTAAAGGTCCTTCTTCATGGGTCCTTCTGGTGACAATCATAGTGTATGGCAGGCTGTGACTTGGAAAGCATGAAGAATATATAGTAAAGAGAATGAATGAATGAATGAATGAATGAATGAATGAATGAATGAATGAATGAATGAAAAAATAAATATGTTCTAGGTAATGAATCTAAGAGAAAAGGAAAGGATGTAATCCAGCTGAACAAAGGTGCTTAGCAGAGTTGATTAATACATGCACAGAAGTAAAAGTGCAAGGCTAAAATGTATGTTAAAAATATGTCGTCTAGATTGTTGCAAGTCCATACGAAAATAGGAACGCATAGATTGACGACTGCTCCATATTGCATTCCAGTGAATAATGATAAAAGAAGAATGAGACAGGTTTCAGGGAAAACTGTGTAACATTCTGAATGAATGTGACTGGGGAAAGATTATCCTATTAGGTGACATGCATGGATAGCAGGAAGAAGAAAGTATAGACAAAATTATCTGGCCATTTGGAGACTCAAGAATGAAGTTGAGTCTGGTCACCATGAGAATGGTGGTGGCAAGTATCTGCCTATAAATATATGTGGCTTAAATATTTGTCGCTTCATTCATATACATGGAAAGTGAATGAATAAAAAAAACCCATCTCATTTTATTGTTTATGATGAAAGAGTGGGAGAATTATAAAGGACACTGAGAGCAATGAGAAGCTCTGAATGTGGGACATATCATTTTTTTAATAGTATCAAGAGTGGATCCTGGGAAAAAAATAGAATGGAAGAAGTAAAAAAAAGTGAAAGGGGAATTACTGCACATAGAGAAAGTACAAGCCCTGTATGAAAATGTATTAGAAGACAGATTAATCTAGCTACAGAATAGATGGGAAATGGATGTAAGAAAAAGAATTTGGAAATTGCTTGGAACCAAGTGAAAATAATATGTCACAGAGTGCCACAGAAGAGTGTTGAGTAATGCTAATGGGAAATATGAAAAATGTTTGGTGGAATGATGAAATAAAAGTGGCTGAGGATGAGAAAAATTCATGTAAGAAATAATGGCTACAAAAACAGAAGATTAATGCATAATGTGAACAGAGAGAAAAGGGCAGGTGCAAATAATGTGGTCAAAGTGAGAACAAGAAACAGTTAAGATCAAAACAGGCAGAAAAATGCAGAATGAGTTTTTTGGAAATTATTTTAGAAATGGATGAAAAGGTGAAACAATGAAATTAAGAATGCAAATGATGAGGTGATCTGGGATGAAACTAAATTGAGGGAAGGCTGGAAGGAAATCTGCATGAGAATAATAGTGGTACAATGAAGAGTAGAATTGAAATGAATGCTATAAATGTTAGTATCTAAGAGAAACGATGTGAATATGTAGAAAAATGATAAAACTACAGGTGTAAATCTTATAACTGGAAGAATATTAAAATATGGATATGATTTGCTTATGGACTGGTTGTGCAACTTTGTATGGCAGAATTGTAACTGAAAGATAAAAGAGATAACAAAGAACAGAATTTCAGAAGTGCAGTGCAAGGACAGCTGGCCAGATTTTTGCTCTTTAGTAGTCATTTATAAGTATATGTATGTAAGAATTTCTTGCATTTTTTTAATTTAGTGAAAGTATATGATTGAGTAGGCTTGAGTTATGGAATATTTTGCATGAATATAGAGTTAAAGATTGGTTGTTCAATGCAGCATGGAAGTAAAGCATATATGAGACTAAAATGGAATGCTAGCAAACAGTTTGTTATTGATCAGGTAATAAGACAAGGATGTGTAACATTCCCTTAGTATTTATACATGTGTAAAAAATGCTTTAGGTGATGTCAGTGCAGTGTTGGTTAAGGATATCCATGTGTGCATTGCTTTGAATGCAGATAATGCTATGAGGTTGACTGAGAATCTGAATAACTTGCAGCAAATATTAGATAAACTATATGATGGAATGAAGAGCTTGAATCTGAAAATTACTGTACTGAACACCAAGGTAGTTAATTTGAGAGAGAAAAAGGAATGGCTTGCAAGTTCTAGCTAAATGGCAAAAATCTAGAACAAGGATACAAATTTAGTAAAATGTTCACAGAAGATGAATAGAGAAATCCTCCAGAAAGGAGTTGTATAACATATATGTTATAGCTGAGGACAGGCCAGAATACATACAAAAAGCCAAAAGATTACTGGAGGACCAAGAAACCTACATCCCAGTAAACATCAACCCAATAAAGAAACTAGACAACCTGATCAAGAGAACCCTTAACAACTTAACCAAGAAAGGTCAAATCAAAAAAGAAGAACAGTGGCAGATGAAAAGCAATGGACCCATCCTCCTATGCTTCTATGGAAGCCCGAAAATACACAAGCCCAACATACCTCTTTGTCCAATTGTATTATTACCAGGAACCCCAACATGCAACGTAATGAAAGAACTTACAAAGAAGCTTGGACATCTCACAGAGGGGAGAGACTATTCTATCAACTCCCCAGTACAGTGCCTCCAGAAAATCAAAGACTTAAAAAGAGATGAAGACGAAATTATGGTTTCACTCAATGTCATAGCACTCTTTACATCCATAGACCCAGAACTAGCGAAAGAATCCATGGCAGCAGTACTAACACAACACACCCAACCTAACCAAATACACTAAGATCAAAATGCACAGAATCATGGACCCTATCAACTTCTGCCTCACCACCTACTTTCAGTCTGATGGACAAATATAGTACTAACACAACACACCCAACCTAACCAAATACACTAAGATCAAAATGCACAGAATCATGGACCCTATCAACTTCTGCCTCACCACCTACTTTCAGTCTGATGGACAAATATACCAACAAATCAGAGGAACACCATGGAATCACCACTCTCAGAACTCATAGCAGAGACTGTAACGCAGCGTCTAGAAACTATAGGATTCCCATGCATATAATCAGAAGAATGGATCTGGTATGTAGACAACACCTTCATCATAATAAAAAAGGAACAACTAGAGAAGACACATG